GGGGGGGGGGGGGGGGGGGGGGGGGGGGGGGGGAGAGGGAGAAATCACAGCATCGACATTTTGAGGTACTACATTTGGTGCCAAAATGTCCTCGAAACCACATTTTGGGTATAATGTGAGGTACAGGTGAATGGTGGAAGCTCTCGTTGGCTCTAGGCGCTCGAATCCGGTTGAACCCTTCTTCCCCCTCGTAATTTCAGATCCGAAATCCAAACTAATTCCAGTAGGGGTGATTCAGCGGAGCACTCCTGACCAGCTACCTCATCGTGCAATGACACACTGACAACAGGCTGGACATTGGTCAAAACACTGCCAAGCGACATGGACTGTGTCCTGGTCAATGTCCGACATGTTTCGCTGTGTCCTCACTCACTACGGCGGGAAGCGATCATCGCATGTTGCACACAATAAGAACAAAGCATATTAGCCCCGAACCGGCCGGTCGTACAGAGGTATTTTGCGCAACCAGAACACTCTTGAGAAATCGATGGCGTAAAAGTGTAAAGGGTCCTTCAGGCAAGAAATTGTACATATCGTTTTTCCAGTCCCTTCCCCATCGGATTCTGAACTATAAGAGTTGATATTTTAATGTTGAAAAGAAGAAATTAATAAAATTTGAAATGTATCGAAAATTGTTTTTAATGGTAAGAAATGTTTTGGTCCATTAAGGGTCGTATACATTTCTTACCATTACCACAATTGCCGACTGGGAACACAAACGCCTCGTCAGTTAACTTCTCAAGTGCGCAAAATGCACTGAACATGCACATCCGATCGCATTTAAGGAACAAAGTAGCGGTTTTTCAAAAGAATCAGAGCCTGATGGAGCGCAGAAAGGCACACATATCGCATACATTGCGAACTTTTTTATCGAATTTTTTTGCTACGAATTATCACATGAAGTAACTTCCCAAGATTTCTCTAGGAAAAATTTTAATTTTACTAATATTTTTCTTTTTGACTAAATAGGACTAAAATTTGCCTCAAGCCGAGCTTTGTCAGTTCGGCGAATACGAAATTGAATTACACCGGTACTTTTTTGCGAATTTCTACATTTCATTTCATTTTTTTACATCTACTGACTACTGAACGGCTGCTCCTGATTTTACTGACAAGTCTATCCAATAATGAAAGTGAGCTTATTTCCATCAAACGGCTCTCTCAAGCGCTCTTGCACTTTCTTGCGGATTTTGCTACACTGTTACGATTTAGTTTGTTATTTGCGAAGTTTTGCATCTCAGGAATTTTGTTTTAAAGCTGATCCTACAGTGTGGAATCGCTGCTTTGAGCCGAAGTGTCAAGCAATTCCTTTTATACATGGTGCTACTTCTCAGCATCAGGCTGCTAGACATTCAGTGCGGGAATCTGATTTTGTTGGTACTACTGCTACTAAGATTTTGTTGGAACTATGTGCCGAGAAGCTGCCCCCTTGTTCTACACGTGCGTAGTTTGTACTCATCTCCTGATTGATGTGTGTGTTCTCCACTTTTTCCAAAATCACTCGAATGGTCATTAATTTTCTCATGGGCAACGCGCAACATTCTCCGTTTGCCATTAAGGTGATCAGCATATCCTGTCCAATAGATTTTACTTCCTCGTATGCTCTCCACAATATTCCGCACTTCGCTTTTGCAGCGATAAAAAAAAAGTTTTACTGCTAGCATGGGCACGAAAAGGCGCTGCGAGCGATTTTTTTTTTTTTTTTTTTTCAAACGCTCTTTTACACCCGCTGTTCGCTCTTCTGCTTTCATCAGTGACCAGCTCACGCATCTGTTCGTCACTGCCTTGAACACAGTGGTGTTGAAAAGGTGGATAAATTCCTACCGGTTCAACGCTTTTTTAGAGTTTTCATAGTACTTCAGTCAATTTTGTCCTACCAAATGCTGCTTTTTCGTAAACGACGAAAAGAAGAATGAGAAAGCTGGCACTCCTTTTTCGCCTTCCAACAGCTGGTTTGGGGCAAAAATTAAGGCTGTTGTGCCATAACAACTACGGAATCCAGCTTGCTTCCTCCGCTGCTTTTCGCTGAAATGTCTTGTTAGCCAATTAATAATAATAATAGTCCTTGCGGTGAGTATGTATATATGAAAGAGCGGGCACATTGGGCTATTCTTTTTCGCATCTTTTGTCGTCCTTCTATCTCTTGTACAGCAGAGTGATTGTTGATTCATTTAGCCAAATACCAAATGAACTGGACTGCGAATGCTTCTCTAATTTTGTGACATCTGCTGCAACGCGTTCTAGGCTAATGCAGTTAATTCTATTTTTTATTCCAAAAACTGCATGTCTTATCTCACTGATAAGCTCATATACACTCTGCGCAAAATGCTGTTTTGATGCTAAGAGCTAACATAAAACGCTGGTACATAGAATCCATGTTCGACGAAAAGAGAGTCTGATGTGAAACGATGAGTGTTGCCACCCATGTAGCGTGGCTTGGATGTAAAGTTCAACGATGCTGTGGTCTGATAGAAATAAAGGGAAAGTGTTGCAGGGAACACATTTTGAAACTGTGATCCAGAGTCTCCTATTAAGGGGCTGTGTGCGCACCACCTATTGCCCACACTTACTGCGCGAAATATTCGAACGAGCCGAGGTGAGCTGCACTTGTCCAAAACTTTGTTGAGCGCTTGCATAGTTCAAAAAGGCTTTATAATGAAATTAATTCGCCATACATCAATGTACTGGTATAATTTAGCCAACGCAGCGGAAGTTAGGTGTTTAAACTTTACTGTACCTGCTTGTGACTCCGGTTCCATATTCAAATAATTTCATGTGTTCAGGACAAGGCAAGGCATAAACTTCAAAATTTGGGGCTTTAGCTTATCCACTTTGCGCTACTGGTAAGATAGCTAAGCAATTCACCGTGCCTTGGCTTACGAAATGCCGTTAGTGGCGAGTGTAAGACTGGCTGAACCAATATACCTATCCCGTTGTTGTGAAACGTGAAACCATTCAGTGTAAGCATGTAGCCACTGGCTTATTGGTGCGATTGTTACTTCTTCATTCCTAGATCGTAGGATCCTGAAATTCATGTTGCGACTAGCGTCCGTATCCACCTATTTCATAACTGGATTTTATGTTTTATAATACTCATGGGCCTTATTCTATAATACTCATGCGTAAGCCGATGTATCATATTAAAACAGCACGCGTGCATTTGCGTTCCTGCACTGTTCGCATTCTTGCATTATACAGACCGACTTGACTCATAAAAGTACCTGAAAGTAGCCGAATTCGCTGCTTTTTCACTTCAGACCATGTGATCGAACAGATACTGATTTTATAAATCCAGGAAACGGAGTATGAGATGAACTTATCTTTGTGCATTTCATATCGCGAATTGTTGAGAAGATTCATCGGTAGCGCAACAAAAAAACCAATCCTCTATTCATTGCTTTGTAGGAGAACTATGCACTCAGGACAGACTTTTGTAAAAAAGCAAGAATGCGCCGTTGACCGAGCACTTACCATCAAAATAAACATGCATTCAAACGCCGTGAAAATGAATGAGCAATTAATTTTCCGCGCTTCCTCGTTTCGCCTCTTATTCTCAGTGAACTCCCAGATGAAACTTAGCGCTGGAAAGATCGTCTTTGGTGGTGAGGATTCGGGAACAAAAATAATTCTTTTTGATAAATTGCGAGAAGTTTTAAGTTTATTTGATTTCATTGTTGAATGAAATCAAATAAATATTAAACCCATGAAACATGTTTTCTTACATATGACATTTAGTCCAGTCTCTTCTATTCTACTATTTCATATTCAGGAAATACTGAAAAATGAGCCGACACTGCTGAAGCTTACAGCCCCAATGATCGTTTGTGGCGATATTCATGGGCATTATCACGATCTGTTAAGAATATTTCGCGTACACATTACTTTGAAATCAATTTTTCTATGAAAACTACAATATTCTTGTTTTGTTTGAAAAAAAATTTCTATTCATTGCTGGGAACCATGTCCGTTCAAGTATGAGTGTGTGTAGATTGAATAATTTGCGTTAAAACTTAGAAAGCTCGGAGTTACAAATTCGAGGTTACAAGTTAGACATTAATTTTCAGGTCCCCTTACGCCCTGACTTCTAGTTTCAGTAACCAAAAATTTAGATGACTAAAAGGAACTAAAAGCCAGAAAAGCTAGAAATTAGGAAGTTTAAGAAATTGTTCTAAATGATTAGGGTCAATATTTTAAGTTTAGACTTCATTTTCTCTTGATCTGCAACCTTATATTCGAATCTAAGCCTACCTAGTTTTAGAGTTGGGCCAGCTAGCAATTCAGCGTCTTCAGGTTTCATTTCTCTGTTTAAAGAGTAGCAAATAATTTGGAAGCAGCTTTTAAGCAGCACCGCTTCCTCAACAATTACAGACCACTCATGTGTGAACTAAGTTCATAAAGCTAGGACGGGATAAATTATAGATCCGAGATTTTCACACACTCTGTTCATCCTAAAATTATTGTGTCATTTTTTTGCTTGTACACCGACATATGCACGAACTGGGTGTTTTAATCAGTTTGTGACACTGCGCATGACCAAGTCGGCTTCCAATGGGTGCCGTTACTTGTTTCTTGAACGTTTTTCTGCATTGCCAGTGCTTCTCTGAGTTCAAGAATTTTTTTTTCACATGTTAGCTTTTGCAGCCTCCGACTATTAAAAAAAAAAGAAAACAAAATATTTTCCCGCTTCTTCCAAAAAAGAAAAAAAACAGTAGGAGAGCCAAGAAATTAGACTTCTATTAAAAGTTTTTGTAATTTTTTACGGTAAATTATAAAATGACGATTAAAGGATGATGCTTCTCGAGAATTGCTTTTATAGGTGTGCGGCATGCCAAGGAGGCAGCGCTATTTGTTCCTCGGTAATTACATTGATCGCGGAGCGTACTCATTGGAAGTTATGGCGCTTTTATTGCTATACAAAATTCAGTATCCTCAACAAATATTTTTGCTACGTGGCTGCCATGAGCGACCGGCGGTTATTTCGTATGTTATAATTCAGATCTCAACGGCATCATGCCCTTTTTTCCTGGAAAACAGGCAACTGATCTGTTCTAGGTTATTAGCAGTCTTTCCTGCTCAGTGGAAAAAGCCCTCCAGCTCGAAGCGCAAACCAAAAAAGGCTCTCATCCTGAAGTGTTAATCGAAGAAAGGTCTCTTCGAAAGCACGCAAGAACAAAAAAACTTCCACGGTTCAATACTTCCCCTCTTTCTCTAAACAGCAATAAATCTTACAGTTTTGGGTCACTTTGCATTTTGATGAAGCGTACTTTTTGATCTAAAAAAAGTGAAACATTTCTCGAAAATCAACGCAGTAGTTCATCCGCCCGCACCGTTGTTTCAGTACGGCAGTTCATAAACGTGCAAAAGCCGAATTCGACAGGCTACAAATCTATTTAGCTCACAGAGGGTTTGAGGAATGTGCTCGCAAATCTTTTCTGGAAGACGATAGTGCAGCGCCGAATTCTGCAACTCGCAGACGGAGCAATAATGGGAGAAGCACGAGCATGCTTGTTGTTGCCATTTTCTAGAGGACTCTCGTTGCTCTTGAAAGATCAATGCAGGTTGCGGAATTCATCTCTGAGAGACGTAGAGCGACCCAAAGTCGGTACAAGGTACGGATACCACACTCCGATGAGGTAGTTGAGTTGAAATTTTTTAGTAGTCTGAATAAAAACTTGATGACCTACGTCATCACATGTAATGCTCATAAAAAATCCGCATTTGTGTTTTGTATCCTGCAATATATAAAGAAATTATCCGCATTAAAACTTCCTTTTTTATGATGTAAATATCTGTCAGTGTAATTAAAAAGTGACAATTTCAAGTCAGGGCGATTTCTATAATGATATACGTCGGCGCTACAGTAAACCGGAAGAGTGGCAGCCAATCTATAGCGGTTTTGTTCGAGTCTTCAGGCGATTATTTTCATTTTTTCCAAGAAAAAAAACTTTTTCTTCATTTTTTTCGCTACCATGCTAGCATCTGAAAGCCACAATCCATTATTTTTCAGTATGCTACCTATAGCTGCTGTACTTTCCGACAAAATATTTTGTGTTCATGGTGGCTTAACTGACAAAGTTGAAAACCTCGATCAAATCGCGCACATTAAACGGTTGTAGCTAATTTTTATGTTTCTTCTTTTATTGCGACCCATTCGTTGCAGTTCACCTTTGTTTTTGAGTAATAAAACGCAATTGTATAAGAATACAAAGAAGAACTGATTCTAATAATCCCAACTTTAATTCTTGGCAGATAAAGTGTCGAATTTTTGGAATTTCTGGATTTTCTTAAATTTTATTTTTTTAAACTTAATTTTTTTTCGTCACATGTTGGTGATTTTGGCGCTGTCTGTCGGAAAAAGAGGGAGAATAGCCGTTGTCCTCCTCAGGAAAGTATCCATAACATATGCACACATTCTGCAGACCAATGGTGGAGCCGAATAAACTAGCTGAATCGCTACTGACGAAAACAGTGCAGATAGCCGGAATTAATAGTCAACGAAACCGCAAACAAGTGGCTGATGAGCAGGCCAACATGAAGCTCAATGAACTCGGCATCGATTGCATTATCCGTGGCCATCAGGTTCTTTAAAAAT